TCTCAGGTACCGCGTCGGCTCCGGCCACCCACACCTTCACCCTTGACTCGGGTGCTTCCCGCTCCTTCTTTCGAGACCGCACCACGCTTACGCCGCTTAGTCGGCCAGTGGCAGTCTCCCTGGCAGACCCCTCTGGGGGTCCTGTCCTTGCCCACTTCTCCACTGTTCTACCGTGTCCGGCGGCCCCTTCTGGCACCCTGTCGGGTCTTTACCTCCCCTCGTTCTCTACGAACTTGGTGAGTGGTGCTGACCTCCAGGATGGAGGGGTTCACCAGTTCACTCCTGCGAGTCAGCGAGTGACCCACTGTACCTGTGCTCGGACGGGCCGTCACTTGGCCACGTTTACCCGTCAGCCGGGGTCGAGCCTATACACACTGACTACTGAGTCTCCTCCAGTCACTGAGTCTGCTCAGGTAGCCGCGTCGGGTCAGGTGTGTGCTGCGGCGTCCAGGTCTGGTCCTGAGTCTGCCCCCTGCTCGTGTCGTCTCCTGTCTCACCAGACTCTCCTCTGGCACCACCGCCTTGGTCACCCCTCCCTGCCTCGTCTTCGAGGCATGGCCTCCCGTGTCCTTGTCTCTGGTCTCCCCCGGTCCCTCCCTCCCCTTCCTCCGGGGCCTGCCCCCACCTGCGTTCCCTGCGTCGAGGGACGGCAGCGCGCTGCTCCTCACTCCTCCGAGTTTCCTCCGACAGAGGCTCCGCTGCAGACGGTTCACATGGACGTGTGGGGCCCAGCCCGAGTCCGTGGACAGGGTCACGAGCGTTACTTCCTGCTGGTGGTTGACGACTACTCGCGTTACACCGCGGTCTTCCCCTTGCGCAGCAAGGGTGAGGTCACTGAGGTGTTGATCGCCTGGATCCGCGCAGCTCGTCTCCAGCTCAGAGAGAGTTTCGGCTCGGACTTTCCTGTTCTGCGTCTGCACTCTGACAGAGGCGGAGAGTTCTCCTCTGACCTTCTGCGAGCCTTCTGTCGTGCACGAGGCATCCGCCAGACCTTCACGCTTCCGGATTCTCCGCAGCAAAATGGGATTGCTGAGCGCCGCATTGGCATGGTCATGGACGTCGCTCGTACGTCCATGGTCCATGCGGCTGCCCCCCATTTTCTGTGGCCGTTTGCGGTTGGGTACGCGGCGCATCAGATCAACCTTCAGCCCCGGGTCTCCATGCCGGAGACCTCCCCTGCTTTGCTGTGGACGGGGAAGGTTGGCGATGCGTCTGCGTTCCGTGTCTGGGGATCTCGGGCGTTTGTCCGCGACTTGTCTGCGGACAAGCTGTCCCCTCGTGCTGTTCCCTGCGTCTTCCCTGGCTTCCCCCCTGACGCGCCGGGCTGGCAGTTCTACCACCCCACCTCGCGCCGTGTTCTGTCCTCCCAGGACGTCACGTTTGACGAGTCGGTTCCCTACTACCGTCTCTTCCCCTACCGCACTGCGTCCCTCCCCCCACCGCCGCTCTTCCTTACGCCAGGTCCCTCCCGGTCGACCCCCTCCCCCCTCAGGGTCCTGCCCCCTCAGGTGTGTCTCAAGTAGACGCAGTCGACCCTGTCGAGGTAGCTGTTGACTCTGGTGTTCCTAGGGGTGCTGAGCCTGCGGGTGCTGGGTCTGGGGGTGCTGACTCTGGGGGTGCTGAGCCTGGGGGTGCTGACTCTGGGGGTGCTACGCCTGGGGGTGCTGGGCCTGGGGGTGCTGCGCCTGGGGGTGCTGCGCCTGGGGGTGCTGCGCCTGGGGGTGCTGAGCCTGAGGGTGCTGCGTCTGGGGGTGCGGAGTCTGAGGGTACTGGACCTGCTCGTGTGGCGTCTGGCGGTACTGGGCCTGGAGGTTCTTCGGGTACTTCGTCCCGGCGGGAGCTACTCTCTCCACAGGAGCTGCGTGAGTGGTTTGCCCGGCGCTGGAGGCGAGCTGCTGGAGCTGGAGGTGCTGCGGGTGCTGGAGGTTCTGCTGCTGAAGAGGGTGCTGGTGCCGCGGGTCCCGGAGGTGCTCGTACTGGGAGTACTGGAGCTGCTGGGCCTGCGGGTGCTTCTCGTACTGGAGCTGGTGGTGCTGCGGGCGTCGGTGCTACCGAGGGTGCTGGAGCTGGACCCGCTGCGTCTTCTGGTGGTCCGGCTGGAGCTGGAGCTGCTGGGGGTGTTGGCGCTGAGGGTGCCTCTCGTGCTGGTGCCTCTGAGGGTACTGGAGTTGGCGCTGCTGGAGCTGGGGGTGCTGCTGGCGCTGGTGCTGTCGTTCGAGGTGCTGGTGCTGTCCCTTCTGGTGCTGGTGGTGCTGAGCGGCCGCGGCCGTACTTCGTTCCGCTCCTTGAGCAGGTTCTTGGTCTTCCGCCCTCTGCTAGTCCGGCTCCTCCCTTCGAGTGTCCACCGTCTATCCAGTCCGAGTCACAGTTACAGCCTACCTCTCCTCTGCCTGCTCCTTCTCCCTACACTGGTCCTACTGGAGGTCTTGCTGAGCGTCGTGAGCCTGCGTCTCGTCCTGCGTCGCCTGTCCGTGCTACTCGCACTGGTAGTCGTGGTTCGCGTCAGCGTCCTCCCCCTGTCCCCGGCACGCACCGGATGTCTCTGCGTCCCTCCACTGCTCCGCTGCGTGCCCCTTTGCCTTCTCCTCCTGAGTCCTCTCTTCCTGTTCTTCCTGACCCGGAGTCGGACTCCCTTCGTGCTGCCAGTCCTACTATCACGCATCTCCTTGCTACTGTCGTCACTGACCCTTCCTTTGAGTCCGCTGCTGCGTCAGCCTTAGTTTCTGAGCTTGTCGACTTCGCTGCTCGCTGTCGTCTAGACTACGCTACTAGTCTTGTCGCTGAGTCTGAGTCTGTCTGTCCTCCGTCAGTCGGGGGTGAGTGTGCCCTTGGCACGGACGTCCTTGAGGACAGGCAGGAGGAGTTCCAGTGCTTTGCTGCTGCTTCATCTCATCTCGTGTCCATGCTGCTTGCCCCTGAGGGAGACCCGGATGCACCAGACATCCCGACTCCGCGTTCTTACGCGGAGGCGATAGAGGGTCCCTACTCCTCTCAGTGGCAGGCAGCCATGGATGCAGAGATGGCTTCCTGGAAGTCCACAGGCACCTACGTCGACGAGGTTCCCCCTCCTGGGGCGAACATCGTCAGTGGCATGTGGATTTTCAGGGTGAAGCGGCCGCCGGGTTCTCCGCCTGTCTTCAAGGCACGCTACGTGGCTCGTGGCTTCAGTCAGCGGCAGGGAGTTGACTACTTTCAGACCTTCTCTCCCACCCCGAAGATGACCACTCTTCGGGTACTGCTGCACATAGCCGCTCACCGGGACTACGAGCTTCACTCTCTTGACTTCAGCACTGCTTTCTTGCAGGGCAGCCTGCACGAGGAGATCTGGCTGCGCCGCCCACCTGGCTTCACTGGGTCTTTTCCTCCTGGTACCCAGTGGAGCCTCCGGCGGCCAGTTTACGGTCTCCGCCAGGCACCTCGTGAGTGGCACGACACACTGAGGACTACACTTGCGGCTCTTGGGTTTGCTCCTTCTACTGCCGACCCGTCGCTATTTCTGCGCACCGACACTTCTTTGCCGCCGTTCTACATCCTCGTGTACGTCGACGACTTGGTCTTTGCCACAGCTGACACTGCTGGACTCGCCCACGTGAAATCCGAGCTGCAGAAGAGACACACGTGCACAGACCTGGGTGAACTGCGTAGCTACCTTGGCTTGCAGATCACCCGGGACAGAGCACAGCACACCATTACCCTGACTCAGTCACACATGGTGCAGCAGGTCCTTCAGCGCTTCGGCTTCACGTACTCCTCGCCTCAGGCCACTCCTCTGTCTACTCGCCACTCGCTCTCAGCTCTGCCTTCGGATGAGTCCGTAGAGTCGAGTGGCCCGTACCCAGAGCTTGTTGGCTGCCTCATGTACCTGATGACCTGCACTCGACCTGACCTTGCATACCCTCTTAGCATTCTGGCACGCTATGTTGCTCCTGGGAGACACAGACCAGAGCACATGGCTGCAGCGAAGAGGGTGTTGCGCTACTTGTGCAGTACGTCGGGCATGGGGCTTGTGCTTGGAGGGCGGAGTCCAGTGGTCCTCACTGGGCACGCAGACGCTTCTTGGGCTGACGACCAGGCTACGCAGCGGTCGTCACAGGGTTACACCTTCAGCCTTGGTTCCGGCTCTGTTTCGTGGCGGTCTACTCGCTCGTCTTCTGTTCTCGGCTCCAGTTGTGAGGCTGAGATCTACGCAGGGGCCATGGCTGCACAGGAGCTACGCTGGCTCACCTACCTTGTGACTGACCTAGGAGAGCCGCCTCGTTCTCCTCCAGTTCTGTACGTAGCCAACAAGGCTATGCTGGCCTTGTGTCGGGAGCACAGACTGGAGCACAGAACGAAGCACATCGCTCTTCGCTACTTCCTTGCTCGTGAGCTTCAGCAGCGCGGTCAGCTGCGCCTTGCTTACGTGGCCTCTGAGGCTAACACTGCTGATATCTTCACCAAGGCACTTGCGCCTTGTGACCATCAGCGCTTCTGTACTCTGTTAGGTCTTGTACCTACCTTGCCTCACTTGCTCACTTCTTGACCTTGCTTGTACTGTTACATATATATATACCTGCTCTTGCTTGTTTAGCGTTATATATATGTGTGTACTCATGCATGTGAACTGGCCTTGTGGCCTTGAACTTGTGCTCAGAATGTGTGGTGACGTTGTGATCCACCCTGAGCTTGCTTTGCCTTGCTTTGCTTGACTGGTCTTGTGACCCCTTGTTCTCCCCCACTTTGCCTATGGGGGTGTGTCAAACTTATATGATCTAGCCTGTGTAGGCTGTATTGGGTTAGATACTAAGGGGTACACAATTCTAGGGTTTCATATTTGTATCACTTTCATTCCTTATTCATTCTCGTTCTAAGTTTCTCAGAGGCTAGGGCTGGACCCCCCTTGTCCATGGCGGTGCAGCTACGCTCGTCTCGAGCGGAACGGACCGTGGCAAATCGTAGAGTTGTCCGATCCCGCAGAGCACACATGCGATCGTGTCTACCGGACCCGGTGGTGGCCCGGAATGGGACGTAAGAGGAAGTACCTTTGGCGGAAATTCGGCAACTTCGTCCGTGCAGCGCCGTTCAACGCCCCTTGGGACTACGCCAGGCAGATTACGGCCTGCTCTGGTCCGAAGTTAACTTACAACAACGCGTACCGGTGAGCGTACACCCGTCATAGGCCGAACACCAAGGGAGCTTTTCTTTTAGCGTCTGTGTTGCCTCCACTTCACTCATTTCCCGATACCACCCATACATTCCACCCACACAGGCTGAAGGTAGGCATCACGGCGCAGCGATTCGGCGACTGGTGCGAGTCATTCCGCTACATTCCGGCGGTGCAAGAGCGCATTCGGCAGATCGACAACGGAGCAACCGTGGAGCTTTTGACTTACAACCACGAATTTCTCCGCTTCTTCATGGTGCCGAGTGCAACACGCAAAGCACTGAAGACGTGCAGGCCTGTCATCGCACTGGACGGGACTTTCCTGATCCGTGCTCAAAAGGCTACTCTGCTGTACGCCAACGCGATGGACGGCAATCAGCAAATCATCCCCATCGCATGGGCGCTCGTAGAGAGCGAAACCAAGGACACATGGATTTGGTTTTGCCGGCTCTTTGATAAGCACTGCTCTGACTGGAAGGGACGGGACGACGCGGCTATCATCAGCGACCGGGACAAAGGTCTCATCCCGGCGGTGAAGGAAGTGTTCCCTGAGAAGGTGGCGCACTACTTTTGTGGGTGGCACATGCAGCAGAACGTGAAGCGGTTCGGGAAGACTTCCGCGGACATGTTATGGCGGCTTTTGACAGCCCGGTCTTTGGACAAGTACAACGAGCTCAAGGTCGGTGCACGGGAATCCCATCCCCTGCTCACGACTTACCTCTACGGTGCAGCGCCTGTGGCCGACGCGCCTGGGCCAAACCCCACTCCACCAGCTGGCCTTCGTATTCGCCGACGCAACGTTCAGCAAACACGCCGGACGCGTGCGACCGCCAACAACATTGCGGCCGAAGCAGCTGAAGCACGGCGGCGTGCTCGCCAAGCACAGTCGCAGCGACGCGGCCGCCGACAGAGACAGGGCGGCGCAGGACGCCCACCTCGGAATGCCGCAGCGGCGGGGCATTCAGCAGCGCCCCGCCCGTCCACAGCACCGTCGCCCGCTGCTGCGACCCGCCAAGCCGCTGCACATGCATCGTCCGCAGCGCCCAGCCCATCTGCAGCGCCAGGGCCGTCCGCAGCGCCCCGCCCGTCTACAGCACCGTCGCCCGCTGCTGCGACCCGCCCAGCCGCTGCACATGCATCGTCCGCAGCGCCCAGCCCATCTGCAGCGCCAGGGTCGTCCGCAGCGCCCCGCGCGTCCACAGCACCGTCGCCCGCTGCTGCGACCCGCCCAGCCGCTGCACATGCATCGTCTGCAGCGCCCAGCCCATCTGCAGCGCCAGGGCCGTCCGCAGCACCCCGCCCGTCCACGGCACCGTCGCCTGCTGCTGCGACCCGCCCAGCCGCTGCACATGCATCGTCCGCAGCGCCCAGCCCATCTGCAGCGCCAGGGCCGTCCGCAGCGCCCCGCCCGTCCACAGCACCGTCGCCCGCTGCTGCGACCCGCCCAGCCGCTGCACATGCATCGTTCGCAGCACCCAGCCCATCTGCAGCGCCAGGGCCGTCCGCAGCGCCCCACCCGTCCACAGCACCGTCACCCAATTCAGCTACACGCACATCCGGGGCACCCGCATCATCCGCAACGCCGTCACCATCCACTCCGTACGACCCATCTGCTGCAACAGGTTCGTTTGAACAACGGTTTGTCAATGCGCCCCTCCGTTCTTTAGTACCATGATATGTGTGGTAGTAACGACTACATCCACGATGTAATCTCTACATATTTGTGTTAAGGTCTCATACATGAGAGGCCGTCTTAAAGTGATAGGGTACTGCTCATTTGGTACCGTAAAACGCACAGCCATAATTTCCGTTTCCGTGTCCCTATTGCAGCCCATCATGCAGGAACAACCGCACCATCCTATTCCCAGCCGGAGCCACCTCCAATTCGACGATCCTCACCGATAGTCGTGCCTAGCGGATGGCGAGGAACAGCTGCGTGCTTTAGCTTTCGCAACATTGTTCTGAGAGCTGCGGTCCCGGGAGTCACCCCACCAACTGAGGCACCAAACCGAGAGCCATCACCGACCGCGGCGCCCACCCGCCAGCCACCACCGGCCGCGGCAACAACCCGTGACCCTCCTCCTCCCACCGTGGACCCGGGAACGGCGCTTGGGAACACCAACGAGGAGAGGCCTAGCGTTGTAGAAGATGAGGCGACCGTCGTGGAAGAGGACTCCCTGGAGGACGGTGAGGATGGTGTGCGGGTCCGAACAGGCCTTCGTGGTGATTACACTGCACGCAGGAACAAAATCTGGGTGTACGAGAAGCAGTGGGCTCGATGTGCGGCACCAATGAGAAGATTCGGCATCTACACGAGCAACATGGCGGAGTCGACCAACGGGGCCGTAAAATCCATCCTGCGCCTGCCACCCGCGTATCTGTTAGCATCAATGTGGGACTACAACGTCAAGAAGTTTCATGAGCGGCGTGAGGAGGCTAGAGCCCGGGATGACTACTTTACGGAGTGGGGGAGAAAACGGTATGAGGAGAAGTGCGAGCGGGGAAAGAACTACGAGGTGAAAATCTCCAACATCGAGTTCTTCGCGGAGGTGATAAACAATGGCAACGCGACGGACCCAACCCCACGCAGCTACAACGTCGACCTACGTGGCGAGGGTAGCTGTGAGTGCGGCAATTGGAAAGAGTACGCTTTTCCGTGCGCACATGCCATGGCGTTTTTCCCCTGGGCAAACAAGAACGGGTGGGAGTATGTCAGCGACTACTACACCACAGTCAACCTCCGCCGCACATACTCCCACACCATTCCCGGGACCTACATCGACACCCTGATGGCATAGACAACACCTGTGCCTCAGGGAGTGTGTGACGCGCCTACATTCACTCGTAGGGGTCCTGGCCGTCCCCCTTCCTACAGGCGCAGGGATGCTCCGCCGGCGAACTATCGCTGCAGAACCTGCTTGGGGCCTAACCACAACTCAGCTACCTGCACCCAGAAGTATGGATCCGACAGGCCTGCGGGAGGTGTTTACCACACGGTAGGATGATTTTAGCCGGATTTTAGCAGATGGTAATCGTACTACACTTGGTGCACTGAGCTGCATAGTCGACACCTAGTACAGTGGCCGTCGAGAATAATCAATGTAGCTTCCATGTGTAATTCATCAGCTACTTTGCCCACTTCTGTATGTGTTTGAACTTTGTAGATGGTGAATATGTAATATGGCGCCGAAATCTTTAGAACTAGGGTTTCGGGATACATCTAACAAACCCAGTACAGTCGCAATCCCAGTTGCCGTTCATAGATGTTATGTGAGAGTACGACGGCTTATGCCAGCTATGCTTGCTTGCCTTTACTTTATCATGCTATTTCTAGCATAGGATAATTATATGCATGCATGAATTGCTTGATTTCCTAGGCTAGGTGCTTTCCTATATTTTATTACAGTTATAGCACCGAGCTAGGTTGCATGCACCGAATTCTGGGCATTTCGGTTGCCACCGAATTGCCTTCTACCGAATTCGGGAAGGATCTGTTCGGGACGCTTCGCGACCCGCGGAACCTTCGCGTAACACCTGGTTACTAGGCCTTGTGTCGAGCCTATATATAGCCTCGTGTTGTACCCAGATGATCATTCAATTCAATTACAATTCTCTTTTCTGAGCTCGATCCTAGATCCTCACACTTGGTAATCAGAGCCCGTTTACACGCGAGGTTTTTTCGACCGCTCAAACCAGTCTTCAAAAACCGCGGGGGCGACGCAGTTAAACATCGATTTCGGGTACGTAAAACCGGTTCCGTGTTTTTTCGCTCCCCCTCGATTCGGTTTTTCGGACGCGCTAATGTCAGGCATGGAGGGTCAAGGCGACAACTACGCGACCACGAACGACATCGCGACCCTCAGCACCGACATGGAGCAGACGCAGGCGATGCTTTGTCGGCTCGAGGCCCTTCTGACACACCAACCAGGGATCGCCACCGCAGCAGCAGCGACAACACCCGCAGCAGTGGCAACACCGACATTTCACGGACCGATGGCACCACTATCGCCGAACCTCGAAGCAGCACGACCGAGGCTCCCTGAGGCGTTCGATCCAAGCGCGAAGGGATCCGACGTCCGGCGATTCGTGGCAACCCTCAAAATTTACTTCGAGGCCATTGGGTGTTCGACCCCGCAACACGACGCAGCAAGGATTCGGCTCGCAGCGACACTGTTACATGGACCAGCACTTGAATGGATTTACTACACCGACGTAGCCCGCGGGGAGAAAACGTGGCAGCAGTTTCGGGCAGATTTAATCGAACGTTTCGAACCGATTAATACGACCTACATGGCGCGGCAGCAGATACACCGACACAAGCAATACAGTAGTGTAGCACAGTACACGCAGCAGATGGAGTTACTGTTCAACCGCATCACCGACCTGACCGAAGGCGAAAAAATCCAGGCGTACACAGAAGGGTTAAAAATGGAGATTCGGCGGCAGGTGATTGCGGCGAATTACAACAGCTACAGAGACATCGTGCGTGCTGCCGAGCGATACGACGCGCTGACTCGAGGTCAACCCGAAACACGACGCTTCACGCCGAACCGTACATTCGGCACGGAGCGATCGGCACCCCCCACGTTCGCCGAACCGATGGACATCGACAAATACGACGCGAAGCAGCAGCCGACAAAATGCGAGTTTTGCGGCGCAGCAGGGCATCAGATTTTGTCGTGCTACAAAATGAAAAAGGCACTTGCGGCACTGCTGGGCGGTAACAGTGGAGCACCCCCGAAGTAAAAAAACGGCAGTCGCCAGTAGCCGCGGATCGACCTGGCGATCGCGTAAAGATCCGGAAAGTAGGAAAGGGCGACGACGTGGCGACTTCGGAGCGGGTGAAAAAAGGAGAAAATGATGGCGCGAATCTAAAACGTCACGACCGGCCGGCATCAGGGGAAATCGCCGAGGCGAATGGAGGCTCCGCGAAAAAAGACTCTGCACCGACCGGGAAACTCCAGCCGAACACCCACGAAAGTAAGAATTCGTTAAAAGTATCCTATAAATATACTATAACGAAGAATATTGCTTATCGTGGTTTTCAAGCCTTTGAAAAATTCAGGGGAGGTTTAGAGGCCAAGAAAAAGCCTTTAGAAATTATTCAGGTACCTGAGAAGTTGGGCAAAGTACTACGGAGCGTAGAAAAGGGTCGTGCGTTCCGTGGAGTTAATATTCTCTCCCCGCAGCACAGTGTTAAGGCTCCCCGTTGCCCACAGGTGAAGCCTACACAGCTGCCAAGGCTTAGAGGAGAATTCCAGGCTCCAGAGGAGTGGTACAAGCCTCGGAAAAATCCTCCTACCCCCCAGGTGAAGTTCGAAGAGAAAAGTGCTGAGTCAGGTATAGGAAATAGGGGTGGTATTCAGTTTGATGTACCCTATGATCCTATCAATGAGACCCTCTTTGGCTACTCAGCGCAGCAGGCACCACTACTCCTCGAGGTGTTATGCAAAGGACGACGCCTCCAGGCACTGGTGGACAGCGGTGCATCTCACTCGGTGTGTGACCGCGGGACGTTGGAGAAAATTGGGGAACCTTCCGAGGAGACCAAGTTCTCACCAACGATGGTGGACGGTACGAAACTTCCCATCCACGGCGAAGCATCACTACAGCTGCACATAGGGCACTGAGGTGGAAGCCGATGTTGCCGATCACGAACATCAAGGGATCAGATTTCATCTTTGGGCGAGATTTCTTGAAGCGGTTCAACCCCGAGATCGACTGGGTCAACAGGAAGGTGTGCATCTACAACAACGGGAAGCGGATAGCACTACGAAGCTGGACAGATACAGGGGACATTCCTGAAACGACACTGGCACGGTTCGAACAGACGGTAAACGAGAGTAATGTCAGATTTATATGACATAGCTACTGTAGGCTATAGTGGGGTAGCACATATGGGGTACAGTTTTCTAGGGTTTGCTTCTTGTACCCAACTTTCACTTAGTCATTTCATTCCTCGTTTCTTATCATGGTATCGAGCAGGTTCCCTAGTGGGAACGATTCCTAGGGCCCACCACCACGAAATTTTTTTTTCCTGCCCGGAGCGCGTTTTGCGCCGGCCCGAGTCGCGCCGCCCTTTCGGCCCGTCGCGCCCGTCGCGCCCGTCGCGCCCGTCGCGCCCATCGCCACCTACCTCCGCGGCCCCGCCACCTACCTTCACGGCCCCGCCACCTCACTGTGCGGCCCCGCCACCTACCTCCGCGGCCCCGCCACCTACCTCCGCGGCCCCGCCACCTACCTGTGCGGCCCCGCCACCTACCTGTGTGGCCCCGCCACCTACCTTCGCGGCCCCGCCACCTCACTGTGCGGCCCCGCCACCTACCTCCGCGGCCCCGCCACCTACCTGTGCGGCCCCGCCACCTACCTTCGCGGCCCCGCCACCTCACTGTGCGGCCCCGCCACCTACCTCCGCGGCCCCGCCACCTACCTGTGCGGCCCCACCACCTACCTTCGCGGCCCCGCCACCTCACTGTGCGGCCCCGCCACCTACCTCCGCGGCCCCGCCACTTACCTTTGCGGCCCCGCCGCCTCCCAGCGGCCCCGGACGCCGCCCTCTCAGCGGCCCCGCCGAGCCGCCCAGCAGCCAAGCTGCCCAGCCGCCGAGCCGCCCAGCAGTCGAGCCGCCCAGCAGCCGAGCCGCCCAGCAGCCGACCCGCCGAGCCGCCCACCCGCCGAGCCGCCCTGTCCGCAGCCGAGCCGCCCAGCAGCCGAGCCGCCCCGCCGCCGAGCCGCCCAGCCGCCGAGCCGCCGAGCCGCCGAGCCGCCCTGCAGCCGAGCCGCCCGAACCGCCCTGTCCGGTAAGAGCAGCGCCTCTCTCACAGCACTGCCCTCGCCCTACTGTTTGCACTGCTAGTCTACTGCTGTCATGGCTACCCCTAGTGTCCTCGCTTTTGACGCTGAGGGTCGGGCCATTGACTTTGACGTCTGGATAGATGACCTGCAGCTTTTCTTACAGTGCGACAGAGCAGACGGCCTCTCCCTCTTTGACCTCACTTCTGGTGCCTCTCCTGCCCCCGCTGCTGATGCTGACGCCACCGTTCGCTCACAGTGGGCCACGCGCGATGCTGCTGCACGTCTTGCTGTGCGTCGCCACCTCCCTACCTCTGAGCGTGCGCACTTTAGCCAGTACAAGAGTGCTCAGACCTTGTACGACGCTGTAGTTGCACGCTACTCCTCCCCTGCCACTGCTGCACTGAGCCGCCTCATGCTACCGTACCTCTTCCCTGACCTTGCTGCCTTTCCCACAGTCGCTGACCTCATTACGCACCTCCGCTCTAGTGACACTCGCTACCGCGCTGCGCTTCCTGCTGAGTTCTGCGCCAAGAACCCCCCCCCCCATGTACATCACCCTCTACTACATAGTCACCCGTCTCCCTGACTCCCTTCGCGTAGTCAGGGACCACTTCCTCTCGGTTTGTCCCACCACTCTCACCGTTGACCTCCTCGAGAAGGCCCTCCTAGCAGCAGAAAAGAGCATAGTCGCTGTAGGAGCCTCTCGTGGTGACCCTCGCACCCCCATCTTTGAGGGGTGTTCCCCCTCCCCTCTTTTGCCCTCTGTTGCCTCTGCTGCTGCGACCGACCTCGCTGGTTTGGAGTCGGTTGGGGCAGCGTCTACCCCTAGCGGGAGACGCCGCCCTGGCAGGGGCAAGGGGGGCAGGGGCGCTGGAGGAACTAGCGGGGGCGGTGGAGGCGGCGGTGGAGGTGGTGGAGGAGGTGGGGGTGGCGGTGGGAGTGGTGGCGGGGGTGGAGGTGTAGGTGGCGGCAGTGGAGGCGCAGGAGGCAGCGGCGGTGGCGG